TAACTAGATGTTATTACCATGGCAGAAAAAGGCTAGACAAAGACCATAGAGATAGAGCCAGAAGGGATCTTGCAGACCGTTTATTCTAACTCTATTTACATATAAAGAAACTGAGTCCAGGTATAGAAGCCTGGAGAGTAGAAAACCATGAGCCAGTTATTTTCCCTGTCCCCTTGACATCACTGAACACCCACACTGGAGGAAGTAAAATCCAACCAGAAAGAACTAAAGCTCCAAACTAGTCTGGAAATGGAGCAGGAAAGAATGACGCAGCCCTTTGAGAATAGGAGAACAGTCAGGATTAGTTTTGTTCTTAAGAAATCGAAGTCTAAGAGCTGTAAAAAAAAAAAAAAAAAAGCAGCTGCAACATCTAGCTGGGTGAGGCAGGAACCAGAATGATCTCAGCTTGGGCTGAAAATAAGGCAAAAGAAGCTCTACTTCCACCCTGTCCAAACAATGGGATTGTTTTGGCCTGCACTAAGGATCGCAATACAACTGCTCAGGAAGATTGTTTTCTGGGCCCATCAAGCCATCCTGGGCATAAGGCACTTGACCTTATTCTCGCTGCTTCAATACACAACACTAGTGGCTAAGCTGGTTTTTGAAAACTTGGACTTTCCCAGGACACATCACAAATTTAGCCCTTGCAAAAGGGAAAAATCAACAATGTGGTGTACTGGGCTCAGAAAAGAAAAAATGTTTCCAATACCAATAAGACAGAGCTTGCTTCAAAGTTGTTAAATACCTTGCTCTAAGTGTATTTTTAATTTATACTCCACTTTTTTTTTCTTTTTTACATTTCTGTCTTATAGCAGAATTCTTAAGTTTTATGTAACCAGTGATCACGGAATAGCACAACCTCCTGCTCAGTCTATGGCAAAGAAATATGGAAGCAGAGCTGGTTGCAATTCACATTAAATCTTGCTGGGGTGCAGAAGGAAGAACAGTCAGACTATGAAGTCTCTTCTCGTTCTAAAATTTGCTTCTATGACACAGTCCACCAAACTTCCACATTAGTACCATATGTATTTATTGAGAGACTGTGAAAGGCCCTGGTGGCACAGTGGTTAAGAGCTTGGCTGCTGATCAAAAGGTCAGCAGTTCAAATCCACCAGCTGCTCCTTGGAACCTCTGTGGGACAGTTCTACTCTGTCCTATAGGGTTGCTATGAGTCAGAATCAACTCAACGGCACCAGGTTTGATCTTGGTTTTTTTGTCTGGGTGACTGTCAAAACACAAATAAAATCCAGATTCAGCTATGGAACAATTCATCATCCTATGGGCTAACTATGGATTGATAAAAAACGTTCTCCTTCTCATGTAAGATAGTAAGGCACTAAGTTGGAGGTGTTTGGAAAGAATTAACTAAAATACCCAAAATATAAGGGACTAGAGAAATACTTTTTTTAATATATATATAAAGAACTAATACAATGTTTGGCATCCTCGAGAAACTAAATCAACTGGTTCGTTATTTTAGAAGTTCACCGTCTTTTCTCCTTAAAAAGATGTACAAACTCTACTTGAAGTAACTCTCTCAACCCCACAAGGAGGCATTTTATTATTTAGTTTCAAAAGATACGAATATGACCCCGAGAGTATGGCCCCCCAGACACCCTTTTAACTCAGTACTGAAGTCACTCCTGAGGTTCACCCTTCAGCCAAAGATTAGACAGGCCCATAAAACAAAAGGAGACTAACTGGGCACACCAGCCCAGGGGCAAGGAAAAGAAGGCAGGAAAACTGGTAATGGGGAACCCAAGGTCGAGAAGAGGAGAGTGTTGTCACATCATGGCATTAGCAACAAATGTCACAAAACAATATGTATATTAATTGTTTAACAAGAAAGTAATTTGCTCTGTAAACCTTCATTTAAAGCACACGCCCAAAAAAAATTTAGAATGCAAAAAAGTATTCATCAGTTGGAAAATAAATTCTCAAAAAAAAAAAAAAAGATACTAATATGAGAACTAGCAATTTGGACTATTGGGAAAATAACAACCAATCAACAAATTCCATCAACATTGCCTCTTGTCAGAGGAAAAGAAAGTAGAGCTAATGAACCCAAAAATTGTTTTCATATTTATCACAAACTTTGGTACTCTGCATCAGTGAGGTAGTTTGGAAGATATGTAAAGTTAAGAAAGTACAGACATCACCAGGCATCCCAACTCTACCTCACATGCCTCTCACGATGAAGACGTACCTTCTAGTGAAAGTGGGGATATTCTTTTAACCCTGTGCAGGTAATAAAGGCTCACCTATCATCCCTGAGCTACGCACACTTTTGATTGTTTTCAAAATTGTGGTGAAGGGTTTGCATTCAATCATCCAGCTTCCCTTGCCCTGCGTTCTGCTGGGACAGAGCAAAACAGGCTGTCCTTTATGAGCACTGAAGTTGCCACCTTCAGTGTGAGCATAACAGGGCTAGCTGGTTACAGACAATTCCATATACTTCTAGCTGCAAGATAAAGGAAATGACTCAGCCTGAATCCCATGTGCAAGGGCAACAGAGCAGGAAGAAACTCCAACTCAACCAACATAAATGCACATTTCCTCAAGACTACAGACTCAGTTTCTCTACAGCGTCCTAGGTTATTTCTGTTTTGTTTTGATGCTTAAAATTATGTGCAATTGCATAGTAGATGAGAACCTTTCAAATAGAGGAAACCTCCATCAAACTATAGTAGGGCATAAAATATATGGCCAACATTTGTGTTTCAGTGAAAATTCATATTAAAACAATTCTTTTGCAGCTTAGGATGTTATATTAAACATCCAAAGGATGGACTGCTATATTGGAGGAAAGAAAGAATTATTATTTTCATAACATGGGAATTGATTATACTCCATAAATGTATCATCAAAATTTTAGTCCAGAGACATCTGGTTTGTCATGCTATCGGGAATTTCTTCTTCCTGAACCTCCCTCTTGACCGTTTATAGTCTTTGTTCAGGCAAGCTTCTCCTCTCACTTCTCATTAATAAACATCTAGGTTATAAAAAAAATTCTTTTGCCATCTATAGGGCTATATGGAACTTTGAACATATGGAAAGGTTTCTGGCATGGCTGGATTAAGACCTCTGGAGACCCTGAGAAGTGAAGAGACAAACCTCCCCCAATATGTACTTAAAAATAAGATTTTACGAATGCTAAAAATAAAGTTTCTTCTCTCTAGATTTCTTTAATGGTAAAATTCTGGATATATTTGTTAGAGCAGAACTTTTTTTTTCTTCATTTTTTAGCATCCCTGCTTTGGGCTTTAGCTGCCTACCAGATAATCCAGCTGATGTTGGGTGGTCAGCTTGGCCTCCTTACTACTAAGTAGGAGATTAAAATTTATACCTCTGTAAAACTGCAAAAGATTATGTGTTGTGGGCCTTTAATAAGCTTCTCCAAAGGAATAAAAACATGGGTTTCATAATAACTTAAAGAGCTTTAGTTGTTGGGATCAATGGACTCCTGGATTGCTTAACTAGTGTAAAGTCAAAGAAATGCAGGCCAAAAGACCTCATCTAGAAGAATGGAGAAGGCCTACTTTTTTGTATGTGAAATGCTTTCCTCCTTAAGGCATTCCCAGTACAATTTTGTTTTGCTATTGCTGAACCCAATCCCGGCTTTAGCCCAGGAATAATGTTTTAAAAGTTAGAGGCCTAAAGATATATTAATAAGTAATCTGCCAACTCAGTGAAGTTACCCACAAATATCTAGAGTGGATGAGGCACAGAAACAAACATCAGGCAATGGAGAGCACCTGGAAACTCTATATTCTTCTTACCTAATTACTGTCTAGTTACTTAACACACTTAGTGACTAATTATCAGAAACCTCACTCTGACTTGCTCCCTACAAACCAGCCTACAGTATTGTGGATTACAAGTGCAGGACAGAAAACAAAGCAACTTATCTCCTTCTGGATGTGGGGATTGTTGCATAATAGGTTCCATCCTATGGTATAACTTTAACAATTCTTGGCCTCATGGCAAACGTTGGCTGTGTGTTCACCCCTACATGCATTCATTAAAGTCTTGTTGTGTGCCTACTAAGTGCCATGAACTGATCCAGGCACTGAAGAGACAGCCATGACCAGGATAGCCAAGGTCTCACTCCCACATAACCTAAGTCAACTCTGAACAGGGCACATCTCACCAGAGATGGTGCTTTGTTTCATAACGCGTGCTACCACATCTGACCAGAGAGGGCGCTATCTTTCATAACTCATACTACAGCAAAGGGGCCGTTTGGGAAGAAAATTAAAATTTCACGCATGTTAACATGAAAATCTTTTTGAAATGTCAGTGTTCCAAAACACGTGCAAAAGCATGGTTTTCCAAACAGACCTCCTTGTCAACAGCAAATGAGCATATTTCTAAGCATACACAAAAACGAAGATACATGCCCTTGACCATATGGATGTCCATATAACCGACTTATCGTATTTCCAAAACTGCATAAAAATTCTGCCCTATTGTTTAAAAATGCATTGATTGGCATGATCTAAAGGATCAAGTGTTCTAAGTATTAAAGTAGTAGTATTCACTAACAAATGGTCTGTTCAAGAAAAAAAGAAAGAAAAATTATCCCCTCTAGCTCTATGTGGCAAATTATTTTACATACTATCTCTTAAATGTTCCAGCTGCTCTGAACAACAGTTGTCATATTTAGTCAAAATGCCATCTTAAATTCTGGTCATGTTTAGTAAAAGGATGAAATTGTTTCTGAAGGTGTAATTCTGGGGGGAGTACATGAATAATTCTAAACCTTTTCCTTCTCAAATGAGGAATATTATTAAAAATTTTACAGTCCTCTCCAACATTATCTAAGGATCATCTGCTGTGTTTTTATTTACCCCAGATAAAACATCAATATCTGTCATCATAAATAATACTTTCCAGTTATAAATTTGATGCCATAGTCAAAGAAAAACATAAATTTATTTAAAATATTTATTCTCTCGATAGAATGTTCTTTTGTCCTCCTTTATGCCTTCTGAGTGTGATTATTTAAAAATAAGAGTTTCATGCTCAGGTATACCATACTTCCTTTTGTGCTCCTCAAATAATTTCCTAAGTTCCTCCATATAGGTCTGATGCAACTCTTCAATCTGCTCTGCGGTTGGGTGCAGAGTCTGAGGGACAGGGATTGGGCGGCCAACTGTAAAAATAGAGAATACATCATACATGAGAAACCAGAACCACTCCACCACAGACGACTGTCTCTAATGGACAGCTCTGGAAAGATCTGCCAATCAGAATCAGTTCAGGCCTGCTCCTTCCGATCCCTTCTTTATTTTACTGGCTGCCTGCAGTGGTCCCACAACCCCACCTGGTAACAAGTCAAGAATTTTCCTTCTCAGCAGACACTGGACTGTCAGTGTCCTGGTAGTTTTCACTTTGACTGAAATGAGCTACTGTGCTGACTGCAGCTGTGAGGTATGTGGACAGAGCTGGGCGTCCACGTCACCAGCATTCTCCCTCTGGTACAGCTGAGAGCCAGACCACAGTAGCCTATTATACTGACCGTGAAATCCTTGAATCGTGTGGCATCAAGCCTCCACTCTGACTCTTCTTATGTCTTTCTAAATAACAAAATGTGTGTGTGTGTATCTTCATAGCTAAGGATCTATACTACAGAAATACTCAATCTTGAGGATTTCACTGTAATCATAAAAAAACTGAAAGCCAATTAAAAGTTTCAATAAAAGAATTACAAATAAACCTTGGAAAAGTCATTCAATGGACTCCTAGGCAGTATTTTTTTTAAAATGAGATCATGTATATGTGTATACATACACACGTATATCTATATAGATGGCTCAAAATGTATTGTTAAGTGAAAAAAAGAAAGCTATAAAAATGACACAGTATAATCCCATTTATGAAAAAAAACCTTGTATGTCTAGGTTTATATATAAGCATAGAATAAAAGTCTAGAAAGAGAGATAAACTGGTAACGGTGGTTACCTGTAGGGAAGGAGGTAGGGATGGGGAACTTTCACTTTATCTGTATTATATGAATTTTCTACAATGAGAATGCATTTGTGTTTTAACTGTATAACTACAAATCCAATTAATAAAACAAAGTAATAAAAACAAATCTGGCAACTTTTATATGTATTTTAAATGCCATTTAATAAAATAAATAACGTTTATGTCACTTGTCTCAGATTTTGAGAGACTACAAAGATATAGTCTCCTTGGCACCCGCTCTCCTGGGTCCTCTCTGCTATTCACTTTGCCCCCTGCTGGTCTGGTGCTGTTACTGAATGTTGTTAGGTGCCCTTGAGTCAGTTCCGACTCAGCAACCCTATGTACAACAGAACGAAACACTGCCCAGTCCTGCGCCATCCTCACAATCGTTACTGTGTTTGAGCCCATTGTTGCAGCCACTGTGCCAATCCATCTCGTTGTGGATCTTCCTCTTTTTCACTGGCCCTCTACTTTACCAAGTATGATGTCCTTCTCCAGGGACTGGTCCCTCCTGATAACATATCCAAAGTACATGAGAAGAAGTCTTGCCATCCTTGTTTCTAAGGAGCATTCTGGCTGTACTTCCTCCAAGACAGATTAGTTCGTCTTTCTGGCAGTCCGTGGTATATTCAATATTCTTCGCCAACACCATAATTCAAAGGCATCAATTCTTCAGTCTTCCTTATTCATTGCACAGCTTTCACATGCATATGAGGTGATTGATGATACCATGGCTTGGATCAGATGTACCTTAGCCCTCAAACTGACATCTTTGCTTTTTAACTCTTTAAAGAGGTCTTTTGCAGCAGATTTGCCCAATGCAATAGTCGTTTTATTTCTTGACTACTGCTTCCATGGGTGTTAATTGTGGATCCCAGCAAAATAGAATCCTTGACAACTTCAATACTTTCTCCATTTATTATGATGTTGCTTATTGGTCCAGTTGTGAGGATTTTTGTTTTCTTTATGTTGAGGTGTAATCCATACTGAAGGCTGTAGTCTTTGATCTTCATCA